GATCAAACTTCATTACTTGGTTTCAACCAAGGTAACTTTGGCCTTCCAAAGTCTTCAAAAATCTATAACACTGTCAGCTTCGAGTCAAAATTCCAAAATTACATATTCCATGTTTAGTATTAATATATAAGCCCTGATATTTTACATTACCTAAAGGTTTGCTTTTTCTTAATTTTTTTACCCAGATACTGGAAAGCTTAGTGACCATTTGCACTAGGTGAAAGAAATTTTGCCATGTGAATTCATTTCCCAATAAAGCACAGTGCACACACCATAAAAGTATGTGTTTAGCAATAAAGTGAAAAAATAAACCCAAAGTTTAGGCGCTAACAGGCTTAAATCCAAGTTACCTTTCAGTTTCAGGGCCCACTCAGGGAAGCCCATGCTAAGAGGTGTAATAAGCATTTCAAAGCTGCTCATCCCATGCCTGAGGCATCTGTCTCTTACCTTCTTCTAGGCAGTCAGAACCAAGACACCCATGATGGAGAGGACCCCCACAGCCACCACCTCTTCCTCTGCATTTAGGAGGGAGCATTCCTTGAGAAGGAACTCATTGGTGGAATTCAAAGACTGGCTGGGCAAACTGGATCCCAGCTGTAGTTAATCAGTGGCCACACTGCTAAGAGGTTGGGGAAAAGAAGGAAAGCGCACAAGGGCTTGTTCTGAGCCTTCCTCTGGGAATCTCAGGGGATAGTTGCGGAGGAAAAGAGGACTTCCTCTGCCTGGCTGGCACATCCAACCTGTCTGAGCCTTTATTTTAACACTAGGAGGCCAAAAGGGTGTTCCTGTGCACACACAGATCTTATTTCCTCCACATAAGCGCTCCCCTACACTGCTGATGCAGCTTTCTTGGACAGGAGGAGTTTACAAGGGGGACAATAAAACTCTGCAAACTCCTAACTGTAAGAGAATGAAGATGTAGAAGGTAAGAGGATGGAGAGGAATAAAATGGAGAGGATAAAGGCAAGGCGTTGATTTCCAAAACAGTTAAGGGTGGGGGGAGTACTGACTAACCCATGCACCCCACATTGTATTGGAAAGTAGAAAACAGAATCTGTTAACCCCTGCTTTTCTTCCCTCTCCCTCTCCAGACATTTGGATGTGTGGGCCAGGCTAATGGCAGTTACCTTACTGGCCTCATAGGATTTGTCAAAATAAGCAATGCCTCCAAAGGAAAGGTGTCTCCTCTGAGTCTCAATTTCAGATTCCCAAGCCCTACTCTTTGGACAAAAAGGACAATACTACCCCAAATCTTCCCACGGGGGTTTGATTCATAAACAAGCATGTTTATTCACATAAAAAAAAGCTCAACTCTGCCAAAAGCATCAGTCAAAAACAACGTCACCCCAAATCACACGTGAGGCTCGCTCTTCTCTTCCCAGCCTCCTCCACTCAAAACATGCAGGCGCAATCCATTCAGAACACCCCCACTACCCTCCCCCTGTCCCCCATAACAGATAACGCTGAGCAGGGTTTACAGAGAGCCTGTGAGCAAGCGCATTTGTCTGCATCTGCAGTCGATGTGCTAATTAGAAATCTTCACTTCCGTCCCTGGTTGGCTGAGCCATCCCAGCGGGCTTTTCGTGCGGCGGTCATCTGGCGCGTTCCACCAGAGAGAGGAGGCACACATGATTGTTTCCAGGGAATCAGAGTCACCCACTGCAATGACCACCCACTCAAGACCAGAGCCTGCCCGGTTGTCCGCGGTTCCTCACCCTTCCCAGACTCGCCCCGGAGGTGGTACCTAAGCCCTCCCCCGTCAGGCCGCCACCCCTGCAGCAGCAGGCGGAGAGGCACCGGCCACCGCCGGCTGCAGAGCGCACACGCTGCGGCGGCGCCGGCGGAGAGCTGGGCCAGCTCGCCGTGCTCACCCCGCGTCCGGAGCTGGGCTGCTGGCGCCTCTCAAGGGCGCGGTGGCTCCCGACTCCGCTCCCGCCGCGTCCCGGGGCCGGCCCCCACCCGACGCAGGTCCTGCAGCGGCCGCTCTCTGCACCCCACCAGCCCGGCGGCAGCAGCTACAGCCGCAGTGCCCCTCTTCATACTTCTCTGATGGCTCCTCTTGGTGCTGTTTGGGAAAACGATTTTCCCCCTGCCAGAAACAGATTTCCTACATTTCATCAGTCCACATAGACCGAGCGGAAGTAAAATGCTTACTTTTTCTGGTGGACAGCAAACGCAATTGACACTGATTTACCCTTCAAACGGGGAGAGATTGTATTACAAGCCCTTTGGCAGCAATTCCGAAGTTGGGGCCAAGCTCCAGCCCCCTCGTCGTCCCCCAAACACTAACTTAAGAGAGAAAGGGCGGGAGGGTGAGGAGGGGATCATATTTAACCCCAGGATTTTAACAGAGTCAATGGCTTTAGCACAATATTAAAAGTAGGTGTTGGAAAAGGTTTACTTTCCTGGCCAGTGATTTTGCAGACTCAGAGGCTTGAGCTTTCCAGTAACTTCGGCCACTCTGCGTTCCAAATTGAACAATTTGATTTCTTACAATTCTCTTTAAATATCAGATTTTAGAAGAGACTACACTCAGGACTGTTTTCACTTTAAAGAAAGGAAATACAATTCCACCCTCTCTCTCAACCTCCGCTCAGCATTATGTTGAATGTCACAGACAATTTTCTCCAACTGTTGTTTATTAGCTCATGCATTTTCATATGAAGTCTTCCCATGAAAGAGACAGATGTTCAAAGGTCGACTCTCCTCTAATACACACGTAACGCCAGGCTGAGTGTCCCACTCACCTCTGCACTAGTTATCACTTCCATGGAGTGTCAATGAAAAGTGTCACAGTTTTTTGCTGTTGTTTTCAGGTTCATCAGTTTTGAACAACCTCAACATCCAATGTATAGGATGGCAGGGACACAGGTAATCCTCTTTTGGATATCGTTTTTTTTAAAATGGTCTGTACTGAACCCCACTCTTCAACCTAGCACCCAACCCCAAAGAAAAACTACTATAGATACACAACAGCAATGCATGTGGATAATTTTAGATATAATTGGAAAAAGACATTCATTTTTGCTCTCATCTGGAAGTGGTTATATGCTTTAGAATAGCTAGAAAGTGCATCAGTTACTTGCTTGTAGTAGCTGCACTAACATGAAAAAGGGAAGAAAACAGATTGAAAAGTTTGGCAGCATTAAACTCAAAGGTCTTTATAATTTGATGTTGCAGCTGTCAGCTCCATACTCCTCCTTGACTGCCCAGAAAAAAAAGTCATTCCTCATTTGCAGGAGCTACAGCATTATAAAAATGCCAATATAACTGCTGAAACAGGTCACAATGGCAATAAAACATACAGAACAGGTGACTGATAAATTTGAGTAAGGATTTTGAATAATAACATTTCTCAAAATTTAACACATCTAAGTGTTCCTAAACCCAACAAAAACATTTTGAGTTTCCGAACCTATAAAATTTAAGTAAAATGTCAAATATTCTTGATATTCATAATCAAATATCAACATTCAATAAATGTTAATTTAAGTATCCTCATAGTATATAATAAAGATTCAAACACTTTTAACACCTTGGATTTTGAAAATCTTATCTTCTAGTCCTCTCCAGATAGAAACATTCTTGTGACATTGTTCAGTATTAAGTTATAAACAGCAAACTGTAAGGCAACATTTTTGTTGATTAAGGGACAAAGCTAAATTCAGTCTGGGAAAATAAGATTTACAGAGGCATTGGGAATGCATAATCATTCAGTATTACTCCTCCCTATTTCCCAGGCCCTTCTTTCCAACTATTTTTAGCTTTAAGTTCTATGTTTTTTTTTTTTTTAAAAGATATCTTTTTTTTTTTAGATTTATTTATTTTTATACAAGAACCAGGGTACAGGCCAGAAGTGCGGGAGGGTGAGAAGATTCACCAGAGACAGAGCAGGGAACAGAACAGGCAGACTGACTGAAATACACTGCTGAGGGGAGCAGCGGGCGAGACAGGATTAAACCTGCGCTGCAGAGGCTGCAGACAGCTTCACAGTGCGGCACTCAACCACCTGCGCCACCAGGGAGGCCCTTAAGTTCTGCATTTATCAAATCCTCTGTCTTTTAGCAACAGCCAAAAGAAAAATATTCTGAATATTCTTTTGGTGATGGAAGAGGAGTAATGCAAAAGATTTCTGAAGAGGCACCAAAATAGTATTTTCCTTTAAATTATTTTAGCATTTGCTATTGAATTTTCATTCTGTGTTTTTCAAAATGGAATTTTTACTTATATATTCTAATCTGCCACTGATATATTTGTCAGACAGTCTTTTTGTCCAGGAGTTTTCTTGCCTTGCTCTCAACCTAAAGACATTTAATTCTGAGACCAGAATTAGTTATAACTAACTGCCCTAATGAGAAGAGAAGGGAAGAAAATGCCTGACCTAATAAAGTGAAAATGTCTAAATACATTCTTGAAACTTCACAGCATAAAAAAGACAAGTCAGGCCAGATTTAAAGAAAATACAGTTTTTCTTTTTAGGTTATAATTCAAAGAATATCAATATTAAAAGTGGCTGGGTTATTCTGTATCTCAGCCATCGTCAACATTTTCTCCAATATGAACTACCTTTTATATAAATACTAGAAGGAAATTTTCATAACAAAATTATTTAATTCCTCATCTATAGAGTTGCCTCACCTCCCTACCCACTCCTCTCTCTTCTCAAAATCCCTCATGGAAGTAATATATATACTCACTTATTCTGAAAAGCAGGGCAAACTTTCAAAAGATGATAGGGGTTAGGGATGTTTTGAAGTAAATTAAGTAGCATGGAAATAGATGTTGGATTAAAGTAAATTTCCAAAGGAAACTAAGACATTCTCATGTTCCTAAATAGCTTCAAAATGGCAGTTAAAGACAGTGATAGTCACACGTAAGTGAAGTACTATGAGGCATAAAATGGTGTTGAAGTATATGAAGCAATGCAATAAGTGAAAACATTTATTTACATTTCATTGAAATACTTAATCCATATGTAAAATGCATTTATCTTTCCTTACCTGTTAGCTTGGTCCATAGTATAGGCTTTCAACTCATACCTATTGAAATCAAAAAATTATAAATATCACAAGGCAGGCAAAATTGATTTTATAAATTGTAATAATGGCAGTTACATATATTGTTAAGAATAAAGAGTAAACGTTTTTACTTTCATCACTACTCAAAACTACAAAGAATAAATTAAAGGAGAGAAATTTCATGTGAAAAGTTCAAGGTTTACTCTGTATACTCTCATATACAATTTTTTTAAAAATCTGTTGCTTTACTCTCAATGGAAAGAGTTAAACTTTATAAGAATAACGTAATAGTAGCATAGATAACTAATCATTCCCTACTGTGCAAGACTCATGTTTTTGCAAAGTAGGTGTTATGTATGAGCACATGTCTTCTAATTTTTACACAGGGGATAAATTAACATCATTTCATGAAATATACCACTGACTCATCTAAGCAGTATCTGCTACAGTGTGATTTTCTTGTCTAAGTTGGAAAAGGGTTTTTAATTTTTCTGTTATTAAATATTTTTGTGCCTTGCTTTTAAATCATTTATAAAAATATCTGTACAATTTCAATTGAAGAAACTCAAATTTAGCATGAATGTGTAATAGAAAATATTTTTATTTCTTGTTTGGGTTGTTTTCTTTTTGTTGAGTTGTATGAGTTCTTTGTAGATCTTGGATATCAGCTCTTTGTCAGATGTATGCTGTACAAATACTTTCTCCCATTCAGTAGGGTGTCTTTTTGTTTTAGTGGTAGTTTCTTTGGCTGTGCAGAGACTTTGAGTTTGATGTAGTCCCAACTGTTTATATCCTCTTTTGTTTTCCCTACTGTTTGAGATGAATCCACAAAGATATCACTGAAGCCTATTGTTTGCTGATGTTTTCTTCTACGTATTTCATGGTTTTGTATCTTATATTCATGTTTTTTTTAAAAACATTTTGAGTTAATTTTTGTGTATGTGTGAGAGAGTAGGCTTGTTTCAATCCTTTGCTTGTGGCTGTCCAGTTTTCCCAGAATCATTTCATGAAAAAATTTTCCTTTCTCCAATGTATATTTGTCTCATTTGTTGTAAATTCTCTTTCCATATAGGTGTGGGTGTATTTCTGGATTCTCAGTTCTATACCACTAGTCTATACCACAGTCTATACCACTGTGTTTGTTTCTGTTCCAGTACCATCCTGTTTTGATTATTATAGCTTTGTAGTATAGTTTAAGGTCTGAAAGTGTGATGCTGTCATTATTTCTCCTTTTAACCAAGATTCTTTGGCTATTCAGGGTCTTTGTGACTCCATTTGAATGTCAGTAATGTTTGGTTTATGTTTTGAAGAATGCCACTGAAATTTTGTTAGGGATTGCAGTGGCTCTGTATATTGCTTTGGGTAAGATGCCATTTTAACAATGTTGCTTCTTCCAATCTATGACCAGATTTCTTTCCATTTCTTTCCATTTCTTTGTGTCTTCTATTTATTTTAACACTGTCATGTAGTTTTCATAGTATAGTTCCTTCACCTCCTTTGTTAAGTTCACTCCTAGGTATTTATTTTTTTAGTGGGATTATATACGGAATTATAGGGCCCCCTCGGTGGCACAGTGGTTGAGTGCTGGGTTGCAAAGCTTCCCACAGCCTCTGCAGCGCCAGTTCGATGCCCGGTCACTGGGTGAGGGTCCCACATGGCACGCATACCTCTCCTGCCGTCCGCTGCTCCCCTCAGCAGTGTACTTCATCACTCTGCTTGCTCTGCTTTCCGCTCTGACTCTGGTGAATTCTCTCACCCTCCTGTGCTTCTGACTGTACCCAGTGCTTGTATAAATAAATAATCTTAAAAAAAATAAAAATAAAAATGGAATTATAGTCCTGATTTCTTCTTCTTCTAGTTTGTTATTTGCATATAGGAACACAACTAATTTTTGTATATTGATTTTGGAACTTGCCACTTTGCTAGACTGATAGGGTTTTCTATGTACATTATCCTATCATCTGCATAATGATAGCTTCACTTTTTTCTTCCCAATTTGGATTCCTTCTAAATATGGGCAAGAGGCCAAAAAAGGTACTTCTTGGAAGAACACATGAGTGGCTAACAGACACATGGAAAATGCTCATCATCAATTATCATCAGGAAAATACAAATCAAAAGCACAATGAGTTGTCAGTTCACATGACTTATATACATATATATATATATATATATATATATATATATATAGAGAGAGAGAGAGAGAGAGAGAGAGAGAGAGAGAGAGAAAGACCAGAATGGCCCATATCAAAAAAGCCAAAACCAGCAAGTATTAGTGAGAATGTGGGTGGGAATGTATGCTGTGGGGTATGGAGACTGGTCCATCCTCCATGGAATACAACATGGATAGTTCTCAAAATATTAAAAAGAGACCCACCATAGAGCCAGAAATTTCGATTCTAGGTTATCTACCTGAGGAATACAAAAACACTAGTTTGAAGGAATATATGCACTCCTGTTTTCATTGCCACACTATTTATAATAGGTAAGCTATGGAAACAACCTAAGTGCTCCAATACATGTGAGTGGATTAGGAATATGAAGTATATATACACAATGGAATACTACTCAACTATAAAAAAAGATAAACTCTTACCATTTGGAACAATATGGATGGGACTAATGGGGATTATGATAAATGAGATAAGTCCAAAGGAAAAAGACAAACACCAGGTGGTGTCACTTTTGTGTGGAATACAGAGAAACAAAACAAAGAGCCAGATAAAACCAAACCATTAACAAACCCAGAAAACTGACTGGAAAATTGAGGCAATGGGTGGGATGGGGGAAGAGCAAAGTGGGGTGGGAACACGGATTACAGGTACTTTGGTGGTGGGTGTGGTGTTGCAACATACACCTGAAGGAGGTGACCCTATACCTTTAAAATCACATATGACATTTTAAACCAATGTTACCTCAATAAAAAATATTTATATTTCAATAACATTGTCTTTCTTTTTTTTACCACTGTATCTCCAATTTCTTGAAAATCATTGGGCATATAGTAGGCACTCAATAAATAATTGTCAAATGAATAAACAGCTATTATAGAAGAAGCTTTCCCCTAGGAAGCTTACTACTAATTGGTTATATTTTTATATATTGTCTTTAATTTAATAGTTTGGAACTCAGAATAGAAAAATAATGCTAAAATAACATTATAAATGATGGTTTCATTCCCAAGCTAGAATCATTTCATCTGGTAAAATGTTACTAGAATTCAGTAAAACAGATGCTTGCCTGTGTGCCAGGCATATAAATGAGGTCAGTCTGTGTCACTTGTCACTTCATTAAAAACCAAGGTTGATTTGGACTGTAGGTTTAATCATAACCAATATAATGTTAGCGCAATGAAAAGTAATAGAAAATATTACTAACTCAGTGACTTTCAGACCTTTTTTTATTATGACCATGATAAGAAATACATTATGGATGAATGCATAGAAATACCCAGACGCACATAACCCAAACACGTTTCACAGAAACAGTACTTACCTTCCTAAGTTAATGCACACTGATATTATTCTATTTGGTTTTATTCTAGTCTTTTCTATACCATTCAATTGAAAAGAAATAATGGTAAAAAAAAACTGCTAAATTTATTTCACAACCCACAGTTGGAAAAAAAGGCTGACTTAGAAACTGAACTAAGGAGAAAATGAATCAAAATTGAGGTAGGATATCAATGAACATATGGTTCCAATATAAAGTACAAAACAGATGTGTGTATATATTATTGTCTGTAGTAGACTTGACATGATGTAATGTCACAATCTCCTAAACACCATGCACTCTCACGCCTCCATGCCTTTGTTCATGCTGACTAGAAAGATCTTTCACCCTGTATTTTCTGCCTCTGAAGAAATTGGATTCATTCTTCTAAGAGCAGCTTAATCGTTATTTTGGGTTCCCTGATCTCCCTGCAGTAATGTTGCTATGTCTAGTGTCTGTGTCCAGTGCTTTGAGCATTTTCCATTTCTTTATATCTCATTTATAATGCACTATCACAGTTATTTTCTTGTGCATCTATTACCCCTACTAAACTGTGAGTCCCTAGACAGCAGGACTAGGTTATCCATCTTTGCATATTAAGTCTTCCACACAGTTTGAGCTCTAAGATTGCTGAATGATTGATGAATAAATGAACCACAAAACCATTCAATGTCTGAAGAGAAAAAGTAGTTGTCATTGGATGATGGGACAGTAACAGGAAGAAAAGACTGTGCTCATCAAAGGGGAACTAAATGAAATTTCTCTATTAAGAGCAACAGTTGTTGATTTTGACATCCTTGTTGACAGAACATTTTACATTATAAGTGAGATTTTACTGGCACATTTCTTGGCACTCTCTTGCAGGTAGACCTGGGACCAAGTGTTCATTTATTTTTAAGAATAATGACAATGGCAAACTTGATAATGGCAAATGTAGGATTATTTTGTTGAAGCATGAAAAAAACTGTGCTGAAATTTTCATAATTAAAACTATAACTTATTTTACAGACATAAAAATCTTTGCCAATTGCTGATTTACATGAAGAGTTTTGAGACATGATTCTTAAAGCTATCTCATCAGAGGACTTTACTCAAAGCAAACAGTAGACCAAACTACCTGCCATGAAAGATATCGCACCCCACTGTAAGTAAGAGGACTATTCAGGGAAGGGTTGAGGTCAGTGGACTTCTCTTGGCAGAAGAAAATGTTGCCATCTTGCTGCTATCACAGTAGCCATTTGGACTCTAGAGTCACCTGCTAAGAGATTTCCCCACTGAAGCTGTCAGGAAATAGATATATTAAATTATAACATTGTCACTCAAATTAGCATCATAATTAAGAGTCCAGACTTAAGACAGAAAAAACCAGGGTCAGGTTCTAGCTTCTTCGTTACTTGTTAAGAATTATGGGCAAATTACTTAACCTTTCTATCAGTTCTCACATCTGCAAAGTAGAATTAACAAATAACCCATCTCTCACAGGCATGTCTTGATTGTTATATAAGATAATACTTATTAAATATTTAGTTTACCGTTTGATATATTGCAACTGTGAAATGAAGGTTAGGTATTTTACTATTAATTGATCACCTACATCATCTTAAAATGGTAAACAAGACAATGCCAAAACAATACTAAGGGATAGTGTCAAAGGATAATGCCAAGGTGGGGAACAGATCACTGTGTGTTCTCACCTATGCGCTCAATTGCAATACACCACTCAGGTTCAGGGCCCAGCAAGAACAGGGTTTATTTAATAAATATGAGGTTGGGGAAAAGCAAAAAGATTATAAGGCCACAAGTGGCCCGCTATCTCACCCCAGATAGTGTGCACAGTGACCAATAGTCCCAAACAAAGGCCACTTGTGTAAGATGGCACTGCCATGAGAGCCTGGAGCTGGTGGCACAATGGTCAGCGGTGTACCAGAGTCCAACTCACTGTGGCTGCTATAAGTGCTCATAGGCAGAGCCCCTGAGGTGACATTGCAGCAGCCCACAGCAACAGGCCAGGCTGGACAGTACCTGATACCAGACCAGACAGCAACAGTTTCGTGGTACCAGAGAAGCAGAGGTGGTAGACAGCTCTCAAATGTGGCTGGACAGAGTGTCAGTCAACAGTCAATAGCCCCTATCAGCACCAGTCACAAGGCGGAAAGTCAGAGACACCAATACTACAGAGCTCTTTGTGAGCTATTGGTATAAACCAACAGCCAACAATTCTTTGAGACACCAAGCTGAGGCTGATGATATTCTTTGCAGATGTCAGAGGTAGGGCCAAAGGCAGGTACAGCAGCCTGGTCTCTGTGAAGGTCTGTGGAGATCCAGGGATCTGGAAGTCTGAAAATCTATGGGGATTCGCAGAAGTTTGCTGAATTCCGTGGAAGACAGCCACTGAGTCTTTCTTTCTCCAGAGGCTGGCTAAGTCCCAAGCTGGCTCCTGAAATGCTTTATATCCTCCTTCACAGTTCCCACTCTATAAGACTGATTGGACAATTTTTAATCCTAAGTGTTTGATGGGTTCCTTTAAGCACCAATCAACTTACTCCCATTTTCAGTCCAAGTAATGAGCTTGACTGCCAGCTGGAGAACTTAAAACTGATTGATCCATTTATGATCCTGGTATCGGATTTAAAAGGGAAAACTCTGGCTCATGCACAGACTCCACATGCCCTGAGGTCAGGGCAGGTTCATGGTCTCCATCCTGCCTCAGTGGGAACAGAGGCACACTACACTGGCTCCCCTCAGCTGGATAGGTTTAACAATTCAGGGAACCCAGCAGCAGTGCTGGGACACAAGTCCCAGTGACTGCAGGTGGGCTCCACTGGAAGCCTGCCATGTTACCCTATAATTCTGCAGCCCCAGGGCTAGCTTGTTCTAGGCCTAGGAAACTGATACTATAGTCCCAGTGGGTCTGCATTCCCTGGAGCATCAGGGCAAGGGAACCATCTCTGCTGCTGCTGCCTCTGCCTGCTGCTTTCAGAGTAGTCTGGGTGCTTCCCACAGGCAGAGCATTTTGGGGTGGCAGCCAGAGCCCCAGCATGACAACTCACACTGAGGACAGAGGGAGGTGAAATACCTGCCAGAGGTGAAGCTTTCACAACAGCCTGTGCCAGCCTGCAGCCTGCACACACTGTGACCAGGGAGGTAGAATGCCCAAAAGCAGTGAGTGCCTCAGCCCCAACAAAGTTGGCACATCCCCCTGCTCAGGTAAGGGCAGAGGGTAGAAAGCTGGTCATGTTCCATGGCTTCTGCCACAAAGATCTTATTGTAGACTTATTGACTCTACAACAATCCCCTGGGAAAAGGATAT